TGCTTTCGTTACCCACCACTGCTCACGGTCGTTCTTTAGACTTTTTCTTAACCTAGATCTGATTTGTTTTCGCTCTTCATCATGTTCAGGACCTGATGGGACGAGTTTGCGAGAATCCATCAGTGTGACAGACCTTGAAGAAATCCACTGGTTCCTTGCAACTCTGTGGTTTAAGTCACTAATAGATGTCACTGCTGTTTCCACAGCTGACTGTATGCCCTTCCAAGCAACATCTGGGTCAGCCTCGTCTTTAGAACTACCTAATTGTGACCTCAGTTGTTCCTGGAACCTACTTTTGGTTTTCTCGTTACTCAACTCAGTTCTAACGGATCTTTTTAATGTGGCTTTTTTGCGTCCAGTGAGGCGCAAGCAGATGCGTACCCGTATTAGGGCATGGTCGGAGTCCAAGCAGGTACTCCAGAATGAGCGACAATCTTCTACCGACCCTCTCCAACGATGACTGATGGCAATATGGTCTATTTGAGTCCATCGTTGGTTTGGTGTAGGGGGTCGCCATGTTAGACGATGTCTCTCCTTATGCTTAAAATTTGTGTTTGCTAAAAATAAACGATTGTCTGAACATAGCTGCAGCAGACGCTCACCATTGTCTGTTCGCTGTGTCGGAATACTAAAATATCCACCTAAATGCCTTTCTGTTTGGTTTAAACTGCCTATCTGAGCATTAAAATCACCTGCTACGAGTACTATGTCTGAGCGTTTAGCTTTCTGAAGACGTTCGGACAGCTTTCTGTAAAATTCATCTTTCACATCATCTGAGCTGCAGTCAGTGGGAGCGTAGGCAGAAACGACGAAAAGGCAACGACGTGTGTCCCTATCCTTCCGAGTTCTTACGTAGCCGTTCAGCCGAACAGCACATAGACGACTGTTGACGGGGATCCACTCTAGCAGTGCTTGTTCGGCCCTCATGCTTAGTGCTATGCCTACACCTGCCAGTCCACGAGAACTTGCCATCGGGTCACCAGATACACGAAGGGTGTACCTCGTCGGCTCTCCGTTTTGCCGAGGTGAGGTCAGGTGAATGACCACACTGGAATCCTGTATGCGTGTTTCGGAGACACAGCACACGTCAATGGTAAGAGACTCTAGGGTTTTAGCCAAGGAAGCCTGCTGACCAATTTGACATAGGGTTCGTACGTTGAAGGCTCCAATGTGTAGTTTGGAGCGAGGTTTCAGTAGACCTGGGACAGTATTTTGCGCACTAGAATCGTTGGCTATGGTGACACTTGAGGTGGAAGCCGAGAGAGGAAATTTAAAGTTGAAAGTCGATGTAGGAGGAATAATAGGAATTGAAGAGGAAGGTTGATTATGAATACAGTGGTCTTGAGTGCTGTTAGAGGTATGAGGGCGGTTTTCACTTCCCGGTTGCCCACACCGTGGAAGGGTTGTTCTGGAGGTACCTGAAAAGGAATTTGGATTAAAGGTGGTCTTAGTGACCTGAGAGCGTGACCGCAGTGCCCAAGGGACAGCTGCTTGAGGTCGGTCACACACGACCTTGTTATGGGTAATTTTTGTGTTAGCTCCGTACTTATTGGGACCTTACCGCCGGAGACGGATATCCGTGGGATAAGGCGAGGTGTGCATTCTTAGGGTCGACCTTTTCTAACCCCACCCCTCCTTGTGGGAAGGCAGCATCGCTGTCATGCCGGTTGTCTGAAGGAAACACCTTACTGCTGTCACACCTCTGTACAGTCAGCAGTACGACTTCGCCTTCGGACCTTGGGTTTGTTGCTTTTAGTCTTACCGCTCTTCAACCGACCTGTCTGACATGGTAGGACCTTGAGGAACGGTTGTTCCAGCCAGTATAGCTCGGTTGCTTCATCACGATAGGCAAGCCCGACCACCACGTCAAGGTAGCAACAACGGTCGGGAAGCTACTGGTATTCGACAACAGACGTCTTGGAAATATCGCTTGTATATGCTGCGATCACCGAGTAAGTAATAGTGAGGTTAGACGCAGGGTATTAGAAAATAATTAATCAGTTGATGAGTTTGTGAATCTTCATCGACTGAGATGGTTAGGTCACTTGTTGCGTATGCCTGAACACCGCTTATCATGGCATGCAATGCTAACAGGTGTTGGGGGTGGTTGAAGAAAGTTAGGGGCGGCCAAACCAAAACGTGGTATCAGTGCTTGAAGTCACTAACTTCTAGTCTGATCCATGTTGGTAGATGCAGACTACTTGGTTGGGGTGTGCGTGTTTATCGTAACCAATGGTTAGAGACTCTGAGTGACATCGCTCAGAATCGATCACAATGGCGTAGGTGTGCCATCCTGTTGAAAAAAACCTTTGTAAGAGACGCTAACCACAAAAAATCATTTTAACTCTTCATACTCTGCCCTGAGGATCAAAGAGTCTTCATAGAAGTTATGATGCCTCACAGTGAAAGCCGAGATTCATCATGAGGCTGGTACCCTTTCTGACGACGATACATGGAATGTCTGGAAAATATAGGAGACCGGAAGCACCATTTAAATAACTGCGGAAGTGATAAATTGTAGTCTGTTCTTTCTTAATTTTATTCTCAAAAAAGCTTTACAATACACGATACATGGTTCAAAATATTTCGGTTCTGTAATTTGTTTTTTAATTTAAGGCAACATTTTTGACCGATACAGATCAGCAATCAGCACGTAATGCTTCTTCTGTATACACACCAGCCATGGTTTATCCTTGCAGTAATACAAAGTCGGAATCGCTTCCTAACAACACGGAGTATTCATCTGTGGAAAATGTCCCAGCCAAGTGTGTACCAGTGATTCCCCCTATCATTTCTGATAATAATAACACAGTCTCCAAAAAATCGAAGTGGATTTGTACTCATTGTTCTTTGAGTTTTACACGTCCAAGTCACTTGGTAGATCATTTGCGTATTCACACCGGTGAAAGACCTTACAAGTGTATTTTATGTGGACGTCAATTCACTCAAGCTTCTAACCTTCGCCGACATCTCTCAAGTCACAGAGCCTGGCCACCAGTGTCATTTGTAACTGCTGCTGCATCCAATGGGCACCAAAATTCTGAAATAGTTCCAAAAAATACTGAAGTAAGTGTATTTTTGTAAGATTACGCTGCATTTTGTTTTTCTGAATAAGATCTTCAGTGGTATCTATGTAACCAGACTTTCGAATTTCTCAAGTTATTTGTCTTACTTTTCATTCTAGCCTCTTTTCTAATTTTATCTATGCGAAGTTTTACTATTTCACTGTTACTCAGATAATCAGAATCCTCATTACTTCGTCTCATTTGTTTTTTCCACCAGTGAATTTAAATTCTCTTGTTCAAAGTTGTTGAATTATTTCTTACCAATTGGTAACTGAGTAAGTAGCATAAGCAAACTGAAGTGAGAGCAAAACAAAATAGACTTTTTGTGTGTAGTTTCTTTATAAAGATTATAAACAACCATGGTATATTCATAAATCTCTTGGCTATCTTCATTATTTCGTGAGATGTTTTGCTAATATATTCTCACCACATCATTGTGAATGTGAATAGCTCCTCTCATGACCCATTCACTAACGTCTGATTCAACGTGATTTGATATTTTTTTAAGATAACGGTAGACATCAGATATCTTATTCCGTCGGATTTATGATAATTTCCTACATGTTACGCTAGTTTTGTTCAGGCATGTACTTATTACAGTGGATTTATTAACATTAAAGAAATTGAATATGTGCCCCCAAACGCCCTGGTATGGCCGAGAGCGGGGTGGGTTCGCCCTTCCTCTCGAAATACTCTCACACGACCGCGCGTATACAGCCTCTGCCAGGGAAGTCCTACTCACTGCCTTCTCGTGGCGGGGGTGTTGTTTACGAAAATGAGAGGACGAAAAGCGAATGTCCGGCGCTTTAACCGGATTCCAAACCAATGGTGCATATGGGCACCAGTATCCTGCGGGAACAAATGGCGTATGAACCAATCGTCGGTCACCGGCTACCATGGGACTGCATCTCCTTACGATGCTCCACTGCCTTGTGGGCTAGACCTTTAGGTCAAAGGCTCGGGGTGTGGCCCCCTAAGAGAACCACCTGCTTCGGTCTGGGCACCCGGGCAGTAACGCAGCCCACACGCAATTAATGAACTGAAATTGTGTGGCGCATATATGTTTGGCGCACTCCTGTACCAATATATATGTGTTCAAATAAAATAAATAATTGAATAGGTGTTAACATGTACAGGTCTCTAAATGCATTTTGCGACGACCGCAGATACAGTTTATCCGTTACAGACATTAAATTTACGTGTATGATTTAAGGGTTTAATATGAACTAATCTTTACTAATGGGTTTTGGTTTTCTATCTACTATAGGTGGTACCTAACTCTACTTCATGTCGCCATGTTTCTCCTAAAATTTGGATCTGTCGGTTTTGTGATCAACGATTTGAAACATACATACAACTTCGGGCTCATATTGTACATCATAAAGACAAGCAGGTAATTTTAGTTTAGACGACCGTATATATAGGTATTCTTGTCGAGATTGTTAGTTTGGAATTGTTTGTTGTTAATATTTTCTCAAATTTACCCTCAACACTGAATCTTTTCTTGATTGGAAAATGTCATTTTTAGTTCACGTTTTTCCCTCGTTCCCGCTTCCGTTAGTAATATGACAACACTGGCACATAAATTTCTTGATAATGTATTATCTTAAATTTGATTGTTCTGGATTAATAAGACTCTAGACGAGTTGTGTGTTAGGTTCGATTGTGGTGTAATAGTCTAAGAAATATAGCGTCAACTTTAGGTTCATACTTTGAAAGGCGAATTGATACCCTCGGATCTGGACTCCATATTATCATTGTTCTACCTTACATATTGAGTACCTGATCCTCTTATTCATAGATAAGTTTCAGAAATTTTTGTTTGACTCATTATATGATAGAGTTATAATAAAATTTATGTACTCAAGATTTATATTTGTGTTACGTAATTGGTGTATTCAACCGCTTTGGGATTTCCAAATGATTTTTATTTTTCAGGTTTATGCATGTGTATTTTCTGATTGCAACTCCTCTTTTTCATCACCAAACAGTTTATTAAATCATTTGTTAGAAAAACACCGAGTTAACAGGAGTGACAAACTTGCATGTCAGACTTGCGACCAAAACTTTCACGGTAATTTCGATTTTATTCTTATGATGAATTTTATTATATTCGTTCTTATTCTTTTTTTTTCGTTCGTTCTGTATCATTCCTGTAGTTAGTGGCTTGCGCTCCGAAGTTTCCGGGGTTCTCCTGTTAGTATGTCAGTTACCGATACTTTCGTATTGGTAGTGTAGTACTTGACCCATTAACTCGATATTACACTTCATAGCAATAAGGTTACTGTGATAGAGGTTAAGTGTTGCACGGGATTACAGCGTACCTTTTTCTGAGGAAATCGTAAAAGGGTTTTGGTGTTATGCATCATTTTTGAGAACGTTGTTTGTTAATTAAAGAAATATTGAATGTTATATTGGTGCGGAGGCAACTTCGTAGTTAAAGCACGAAGCTTTCACTCAGTAGATCACAGATTCAAACTCTGGTCTATTTGTCTCACTTCAGATGTCCGGGTAGCATCACTGGCTCTCGCAAACAGTGTGGATCAAAGCTGAGTAATATAAAACTGTACATGATAAACGAGTCACGTTATGGTATGATATTCTGTACAATACCAAAGGACTTCATACTCTTGTTTCGAATATCCGTGTGCTAAGCTAATATCCATGAGTATTTTGATAAACACTTGTGTTAACGTTTTTGAATGTTCTGACGTAAACTTAGGTTATGACTATTTAAATTGTAGATTTCTCTTAAATCAGATTACTAATCAATAACTGTTTATTCAACAAACTAGTAGTCTGATAGTTAGCAGTATTGTACCTCCATTCTAGTGTAACTTTGTCGTTGACGTGCTTTTAGAGATAACACTCTCCTCATCTAAATTTCCAGGGGTTGAACTTCTACCGGGAGATTCACTTTTTGAACTAGAATATGCCGATGACATTGTTTTATTTGGTGAAGACGCTGACAAAATGCAGTCTTCTGACGTATGCACGACCACCGACTACCCCGACGTGCGATGTTTTGTGGTGTGGAAGTAGGTTGGAAGAAAGCTAGGGGCGTCCAAACCAAAACATGGTACAAATCCATGAAGTCACTGACAAGTGGACTGAGCCATGTTGGTATGTGTAGACTACCTGGTTGGGAACCGCGAGATGATGGCGACCGATGGTTAGAGACCCTGGATGACATGGCTCAAAATTGTTTGCAATGGTGCAAGTGCATCCACTCCTTGTGTTCTCCCAAATTCTAATCTTCTGAATTCTTCATGTCCCTTGTTTTCTTTCTAAATTTATTTCACTGGATTATACTCATTGAATAAAATCTTCAAATGCTAATCTTTCCAATTACTGCCTATACTCTTACTACCTTTACCACAATGGGATTTGAATCGACAATTGTATCTGTGTGCTAATGTGGTATGGCGACTCGAACTGATGTACGAACGTATGTAGTTCTACGTTGTTACGGATTGACCATAGAGTTAACAATATTTTGTTTTTTAAATCTAGAATTATTTTAATGCACAGCGTTTTTAATTTACAAAAATTTCATGCTATAGTAGAAATTCAAACTGAGAGTTTGTATTAAATGTAAACATCACTGTTCAACATCATTGAAAAACTGTTGTAAAATGTGTTGTTTTATCCTGCCACGTTTCAATCTGTACTGTTAAATGGTTTTTATTGTGAAAAGACACCACTTACTATGAATCGGCTATTAAATAGATTCAGAAGACATGAATATAGTATATACTGTATGTATATACAGTATGTATATTGATATACTGACTGATTGCTAGAGCTTCTAAACATACACCAATATAACCTCCAACTAAACCCTCTCATGTAAGTAATTTAAACCCATTATGTAATTATGATTTTAAATATCACAGGTTGTAAGCAGCTGATGAGAACCAACGAAATAAGACAAATTCATGCTATTCTGCTAGAATGTTTGTTCTCGCTCTTTTCAAAATGATAAAGGGAACTATGTGTATGACACAGCAATGTTAGAAAATCTTAGTGGTTTGATTGCCCGGTTCTTAAATTACCAAACCAATCGTTTTTAAATATTCTTTAATAAAAACTTCAAAAACGTCATCAATAAACAAGATAACTTTCTCTTTTTTTATTAAAAAAAAATGAAGATTTCTTGCATCTTGTTAGACACTTGTTGCCTCGACGTAATGGATCTAACTCCGGTTGTCCTATGCTGTATATTAGATCAAGAAAAAAGGAAAGTAAATTGGTGAAGAGAAATCGTAAATTTATTTCACACCATAGGTCTACTAATGCACAGGATGTAGAACGAAGTTCAAAGTCGTCAGCTGAATACTCCAGTACTGCTAATTATTTGGATCCGACATTCCGTATACTTCCTTTACAAAGTTTCAAAAAAGATAATTCATTATTTGGTTTCAAGTAAGAATATATTGTACAACTGATTTTATAGTTTCGAAATTTTTTTCGCTAACTCAGAATGAGTATGGAATGGAAATTTAGCTACATCCGTGCGCATCTATATTGGCGCTCTCTTGTACCAATATTTATGTGTTCAAATAAATAATAAATAACATCTGTGCGCGCCTGATTCAAGGGTGTTCCGTAACCGTAATGCTTTACTGATATGACCCTTTAAATTGTTTCTGGTTGTTTTTCATGATATATCCAATATTTAGAGTTATTTGGTATCATGTATGCAATTTCCATGTTTACACAACTGGGACGTTAATTTACCTTGGACGAATATCTACACTAGATTCCCTCCCAGTGTCTATTCTACAGGACTTCAACACAACTCAGATCAAGAACGTAAATATATTTCCACATCAAAAACCGACAACAATCCGACAAAATACTACAATCGACAATCAGTCAACAATAATAATAAGGATAGGAGAATATGGAACTCATCTAACGCCTGTCAGACTATCTACAATTTTGATTAAGCAAACAACCAATCATTATCATTCTCACCCACACACCAGTTTGCTTTAAACCAGAAAAATTGATCCTATACTGGTTTGAAATTATAATCATCCCTCCAATCCATTTGTTAAAGCTTATTAAGAATGCTGATTGAACATTGAATGTATTATTGATAAGAATTCTGTCACAAGTGTAGGAATTATGTCACTCTCCCCTAGAATTCTGAATCTATCAATGACGACCACTGGTCTCAATCCACGGCGACAAATGTCTTCGTAAGTGGTTGAAGACATTTGGCACGGAACTCTGGATCTAACTGCCCATAGTCTTTACATCACGGTAATTGATTCTCTTCTAGATATTTGAAACTGTTTTGTCTACTGATGTCGAAAACTTCACTGAGCTTTTCAGAGTGCAGTACTGAGTCACTTAATATGAAGATAACATTGGACATCTTTAAAATTGTCTGAACATAGCTGCAGCAGACGCTCACCATTGTCTGTTCGCTGTGTCGGAATACTAAAATATCCACCTAAATGCCTTTCTGTTTGGTTTAAACTGCCTATCTGAGCATTAAAATCACCTGCTACGAGTACTATGTCTGAGCGTTTAGCTTTCTGAAGACGTTCGGACAGCTTTCTGTAAAATTCATCTTTCACATCATCTGAGCTGCAGTCAGTGGGAGCGTAGGCAGAAACGACGAAAAGGCAACGACGTGTGTCCCTATCCTTCCGAGTTCTTACGTAGCCGTTCAGCCGAACAGCACATAGACGACTGTTGACGGGGATCCACTCTAGCAGTGCTTGTTCGGCCCTCATGCTTAGTGCTATGCCTACACCTGCCAGTCCACGAGAACTTGCCATCGGGTCACCAGATACACGAAGGGTGTACCTCGTCGGCTCTCCGTTTTGCCGAGGTGAGGTCAGGTGAATGACCACACTGGAATCCTGTATGCGTGTTTCGGAGACACAGCACACGTCAATGGTAAGAGACTCTAGGGTTTTAGCCAAGGAAGCCTGCTGACCAATTTGACATAGGGTTCGTACGTTGAAGGCTCCAATGTGTAGTTTGGAGCGAGGTTTCAGTAGACCTGGGACAGTATTTTGCGCACTAGAATCGTTGGCTATGGTGACACTTGAGGTGGAAGCCGAGAGAGGAAATTTAAAGTTGAAAGTCGATGTAGGAGGAATAATAGGAATTGAAGAGGAAGGTTGATTATGAATACAGTGGTCTTGAGTGCTGTTAGAGGTATGAGGGCGGTTTTCACTTCCCGGTTGCCCACACCGTGGAAGGGTTGTTCTGGAGGTACCTGAAAAGGAATTTGGATTAAAGGTGGTCTTAGTGACCTGAGAGCGTGACCGCAGTGCCCAAGGGACAGCTGCTTGAGGTCGGTCACACACGACCTTGTTATGGGTAATTTTTGTGTTAGCTCCGTACTTATTGGGACCTTACCGCCGGAGACGGATATCCGTGGGATAAGGCGAGGTGTGCATTCTTAGGGTCGACCTTTTCTAACCCCACCCCTCCTTGTGGGAAGGCAGCATCGCTGTCATGCCGGTTGTCTGAAGGAAACACCTTACTGCTGTCACACCTCTGTACAGTCAGCAGTACGACTTCGCCTTCGGACCTTGGGTTTGTTGCTTTTAGTCTTACCGCTCTTCAACCGACCTGTCTGACATGGTAGGACCTTGAGGAATGGTTGTTCCAGCCAGTATAGCTCGGTTGCTTCATCACGATAGGCAAGCCCGACCACCACGTCAAGGTAGCAACAACGGTCGGGAAGCTACTGGTATTCGACAACAGACGTCTTGGAAATATCGCTTGTATATGCTGCGATCACCGAGTAAGTAATAGTGAGGTTAGACGCAGGGTATTAGAAAATAATTAATCAGTTGATGAGTTTGTGAATCTTCATCGACTGAGATGGTTAGGTCACTTGTTGCGTATGCCTGAACACCGCTTATCATGGCATGCAATGCTAACAGGTGTTGGGGGTGGTTGAAGAAAGTTAGGGGCGGCCAAACCAAAACGTGGTATCAGTGCTTGAAGTCACTAACTTCTAGTCTGATCCATGTTGGTAGATGCAGACTACTTGGTTGGGGTGTGCGTGTTTATCGTAACCAATGGTTAGAGACTCTGAGTGACATCGCTCAGAATCGATCACAATGGCGTAGGTGTGCCATCCTGTTGAAAAAAACCTTTGTAAGAGACGCTAACCACAAAAAATCATTTTAACTCTTCATACTCTGCCCTGAGGATCAAAGAGTCTTCATAGAAGTTATGATGCCTCACAGTGAAAGCCGAGATTCATCATGAGGCTGGTACCCTTTCTGACGACGATACATGGAATGTCTGGAAAATATAGGAGACCGGAAGCACCATTTAAATAACTGCGGAAGTGATAAATTGTAGTCTGTCAGTACCTGGAATGAGGGAAACCCATTGGATGCAATCTAGACAGAAAAAAACTAGCGTAAGGAGAGGTGTTATTGTACTCTAGTTATGAAGCAGAAAATGCTTCGCAAACACAAGTATTTGCACCGATGTACTCCAAAGAAGCACGAAGACCGCCTGTAGGCTGGGAACTTCATGAATCTAGGATCACCAAAGCACCATTCAGAACACAGGCAGTGACCTACAATGAATTCCATCCAGTGCTACTAGCACGCCAATCATAGGAGTAAGGATTGATCGTGCACCGACCGAACTGCGACATTATAGATCATTGTTGAGAAGTCGGTTGAATGGAACTCATCACCATACATCAAATTCCTTGACAGCGTGAATAGGAGAACCTTGTTGAATCTTCGACACTATGGAGTAACTGAGAAAACCGTCACCATCATACGGAACTCTTAAGACGGACTTCATTGCAAAGTCGTGCATAGAAGACTGATGACAGACACATTCCTAGTAAAGACCGGAGTCAGACAAGGCTGCTTACTCTCCCCCTTTCTCTTTCTTCTGGTTGTCGACTGGATTATGAAGATCGTCGAATCTGAGGGGAAGCACAGAGTACTGTGGACAGCTTACATGCAACCAGACCATTTAGACTTCACAGACGATCTAGCTCTTCCTCCCATACACACCAACAAATGCAGATGAAGACAACCAATGTAGCAGCAGCCTCAACATACAGAATGTAAAACCAATATACTCAAATACAACACGGGGAACACCAACCTAATCACACCTGATGGAGAAACTTTGTAAGAGCTGGGAGCTTTAACATACCTGATCAGCATCATTGATAAACAAGGTGGATGTAATGCAGGGGTGAAAGCACAGATTTACAAAGCAAGGTCAGCACTCCTACAACTGAAGAATATCTAGGACTCATAACAATTGTCAGCCAACATTAAAGTCAAACTTTGCAATACAGATGTTAAGACGGTTTGTTATACGGAGCTCAGTCAGTCAGTAAGAACGTAGAACTACATACGTTCGTACATCAGTTCGAGTCGCCATACCACATTAGCACACAGATACAATTGTCGATTCAAATCCCATTGTGGTAAAGGTAGTAAGAGTATAGGCAGTAATTGGAAAGATTAGCATTTGAAGATTTTATTCAATGAGTATAATCCAGTGAAATAAATTTAGAAAGAAAACAAGGGACATGAAGAATTCAGAAGATTAGAATTTGGGAGAACACAAGGAGTGGATGCACTTGCACCATTGCAAACAATTTTGAGCCATGTCATCCAGGGTCTCTAACCATCGGTCGCCATCATCTCGCGGTTCCCAACCAGGTAGTCTACATATACCAACATGGCTCGGTCCACTTGTCAGTGACTTCATGGATTTGTACCATGCTTTGGTCTGGCCGCCCCTAGCTTTTTTCCAACCTGCTCCTACACGATGAAACATCGCACGTCAAGGCAGTTGGTGGTTGGGCATACGTAACATGTCCCAGCCATCTCAACTGATGAAGTTTCACCACTTCATCAATCGATTTGCCATCCTTACCTAGTACTCGTTTCCTAACAACTGTGTTACTTACTCGATGGCCCCAGGATATACGAGCAATGTTTCGACGACATCTACGATCGAATACTAGTAACCTACGAATATCCTCTTCTCTTACCGGCCACGTTTCACTGCCATAAAGTAGGACGGAACGAACTGCTGCGCAGTAAACACGTCCTTTGTTTGATGGACGGATATCTCGCCAACGCCATAAATGACGCAAGTTGGCAAAAGCTAGTCGAGCCTTCTGTATCCGTGCTGAGATTTCGTCACACACTAGACCTCAAAGGCTGATGAGACTCCCAAGATAAATGAAGTGGTTGACACGCTCAACTACTTCACTCCCTATCATTAGTTCGGGTGTCGATGCAACCCAATCCTGAAGCAACATTTTTTATTTCGAGGGGGAGAATCGCATCCCGAACATGCTTGCATTGTTGTTTAGAGTGGCCAGAACAATGTCATCGGCATATTCTAGGTCAAAAAGTGAATCTCCCGGTAGAAGTTCAACCCCTGGAAATTTAGATG